AAGCTTGAAACCTCCTGACTCTCAAAGCCTGAAGAGGCACTTTTACCCATGATGGTTACCAATTTATTGCTCCCATGGGGGAATATGAGCAGGAGTCCTCCCGTTCCATCATCTTGCTGTCCTATCTTGAGCTGTATTTTGAAGAAGGAAGAGGCATTTTTTCCAGGCATAAAATATATAAGGTAAGGGTATTTCACACAATTGGAAAAAATGTAGAAAGTCAGAGGTATGTTCCAAACCATAACGTCCAACCAAACCACATTTTCTGTGCAAGAATTTTTGGTTCAAATCTCCCTCCAATATAGGGTATAAAAAGGCTATTTTTGCTTGTGAAATATCTCTTGTTTTATGTTTAAACTCCTGAAAGGAAATTATGCTCAGCATCATTTAGTTGTTCTATACAATTTCTTCTTTTGTTAAATTCTCTCTACCAGTATTCATTTGCTCACCAGTGAGTGGTTGAGTCAGGGAGAAATAGAGACCAGTGAGGATGCCTTGTGACATGTTAGTCTGGTGACCTGTGGGTTTATTCCAATGAACTAGCCAAGCAGTTAACGTGCTCCAAGTTGAATCTGAGAAGTGGAACAGACAGAGTCCATACTGCCAAGCAGAGGTAAATTCTAATCCAAGTTACATCAGGTCTATTATGAGTTTGGGGGAAGTAAGATCTTTAAATGATTAAATCCAGAGAACCTAATCATTTTCAGTCAGCACCAGCTGCTGTGGCCCATAATATGTCATGTTCTATGTAACACTTCAGAAATTGTTGCAACTGCCTCCAATCTTATTTCTCCTTTCCAGGACAAAAATAATATTTGCAACAGAGAAGGAATAGCCAGGCTGGGGTGCTGGCTTGGAATGCTGTCCTCGATGACCAAACACAGTATGAAAGAGGTTGATCTGATGCTCTACGTTCTGTTTTACAATAGTTCCGTGAGCCAGACCATTATCATTGGTTTCTCACCCAACCAGAAGGGTCAGGACTTTGGTCACATCACTGAATACCTCCAGGAAAACAAGTGACTTCAACTACCATTTATATACTTTCCAAACGTTCAGCTCTGATCCAAGTCTCTGTCCTAAGCTCTGTGTATATATTCAGCAGCCAGGTGGACTAGCTCAGGGACCCCTCAACCTTAGTTTGTTCGAAACTGAATTCATTTTGCTGCTGAACAAGATTGATTCTGCTGTTGCGGCTTCTTTCTCTGTGCATAACTCATTTATCCTAATTTAAACCCAAGAGACGTTCTAGACAACTCCTTTTTTATTTATTTTTAAATGTATTATTATTGTTGTTGTTATTATTATTTTACATGCAGTGGGTCACATCCTCTAAATTTAACTGCCTAAGTATCTCTGCATTTCCTCTCCCAGTGTCTAATCCAATCCTTCGTAATTTTTCCTCTGGTTTCCTCTTGTACCTCTTAAGCAGATTTGTGGCTTTTAGTATTGTCCACTTACAATTCCCTTTACAGTGAAGCCACTGGGTCTTTAAAAAACAAATATCTAATCAAAGCACTTTAACTGCTTAGAAACATTTAAATGGCTTGTCACTGCTTCCAAGGTAAAATATTTTGTTAACTCCTAGTCAACGTGCATTCATGCATTTCGTGACTTGGCCCCATCTCTGTCTCCAGCTGCATGATGTCACTTCTCACCGGGATCCACTTCCTCTCCCTACAACCTGTTATTCTAACTAGTCATAGTTAGCATCTATTGAATACTTACCTGAGCTTGGAACTGTGCTCAGTGCTCTATTTCAGGATTCTTTTAACTTCACCAGTGGTGTACATCATCTTGGATTCTTGCTAAAAATACAATTCCTGGTCCTTGTCCCAGATCTATTGAATCATAATCTTTAGGGACTGGTCTAGGAACCTAAGGCACCAAGGCTGTGAGTCATCTGAGAAATTTGGGAAAACATTATCTTATTTAATCCTCATAAAAATTTAATGAGATAAAAACTGTTATTAGACTCATTTACAGATAGAAAAATTGAAGCTTAAGGGGGAAAGTTATTTGTCAAGAGACACCTGGTTAACTGATTGTTATGATTTCAGGTCAGATATCTAACCCTAGGGTTTTCAGCCCAGCCGTGCTCTCCTTGTAAGTCAATGCATACTTTGTTCACTCTGTTTTCTTGAGTTAAAGCAATGTTTAGATCTCTAACCCTGGTCTGTGTCCCAGGCTCTGTGCGTGTATACATATCTAGCTGCCAAATGGACTAGTTCAGGGACCCCTCAACCACATTTTGAAACTGAATTCATTTTCTTACTGAACACGATTGATTTCGCTATTGTGGCTTCTTTCTCTGTTTAAAACCCATTTATCCTAACTAGAAACCCAAGAGACGTTGTAGACATCTCCCTCCTTACAGGCAGTGAGTCAAGTACCCTAGATTTCACTAAGTATCTTTCCATTCCCTCTCCCAATGTTCTAATTCAATCACCTGCTCTTTAACTTAGAAAGTCATTTTTCCATATTTGCCTGGGAAGCTACTGTTAACTCATAATTCAACTCAGACTGAAGCTCTCTTTTTCTCCTGAATCTGGCTTGGTTGCTTCAGTCTCTGGATATGACACATCACGTCCTCATCTACTTCCCTATCAGACTATATGAAAGCATATTGCTTTTTTATATGATTTTTTATTTTTGGGGGAGGTTTTTGCTAAAAGGTGCATGCTCTCACCAGAAATACAGAGAGAAACAGAGGGACAGAAAGAAATCACCTCCCCCGGGGGGATGACCACACCACAATTCCTTCTCCTCCATTCTCCTCTTGGGATCTTGGGCATGCACATACACGCACCTGGCGTGAGTTTAAGTCATCGGGTCTAGGACTTGAACCACAGTGGATTACATGGGAGTCCAGCGACATAGCCATTATGCCAACTTCTGGTCCCAGGAAGCATATTTCAAGTTCTTGTAGATTGTTTTAAATTATTTATTTTAATTTTGCTATTGTTATTATTTTAATTTGCTATGGGGCATGTATACTCACCAGAGAGAGACAGAGAGAGGGAAAGTGAGAAAGCAAGCCACCAGGTCTGGGACTCAAACTATAGCTGGCCCTGTGGGAGTCCAGAGCCTTAACCACCATGCCATTTGCTGGTCCCTCAAGTGTAGAAGAGATACGTGAAAAATACGTACAACATAAGTACATGCAATATACCACTTAATTTGGCTATTGCTGGAGTTCAGATGCTATGGATTGATGGAGTTAGGGTCACTTCAGCAATTTTTTTTTTTTTTTGGAGAGGTTTTTGCTATAGGGTGCGTGCGCTTGCCAGACAGACAGAGAGAGACAGAGAGACAGAAAGTGAGAAATCACCCCCCAGGGGGGATAGTCATGCTGCAATCCATTCTCCATTCTCCTCTCAAGATCTTGGGCACGTGCGCACACATGCCAGGCATGAGTTCTAAGCCACCGGGTCTGGGACGCAAACTGCGGTCGACTACATGGGAGTCCATCGACATAGCCGTTACACTAACTGCTGGTTCCCAGCAATTTTTTTTTTAAGGTAAGGAAATGTAGACTTTTGGAACCAAGCCTCGCTTTTATTAAACTTTCCTGCCTTTTTTTCTAGGAAGATTTTAGGAGATATAGGATTGAGAGTCAATCAATTTCTTTTGAACTTAAAAGGAATGAAATATGTGTAATGTACGTCAATATTCCCAGTCAAGACCGGATGATAGAAAAGGACAATGAAACCCCGAAGGGAACGGTACTATAAGAGAAAGAAGACCCTGGTCTGGCTGTGTGGGCTCAGTGCCAGAGTACAGAGTGTCAGAGGGTGTGCCGGCATGGACTAAAGGTGCTCTCGAGCCAGACTTCCAGTGCCATGGACACACACTGTGGAAACTGAAGTATCAAGGAAAGGTTTGCATGGATGGAAGCAGTGTTTTCACACGGTCAACTGCAGTGGTGGCAGTTATTCAGACTCTGAGAACAAAAGGTTTGATAAGGCCCCCAAATCTATGGGCTAGATGTTTGTGTACTACCAGGATTTCTGCGAATAGTAGTGCTGAAGCTCCTCCCACCCCTATTTTGGCAGGAGTAGGGGCAAGAGTAGATTCAATAGCAGTGGGACACCCGAAGCTGTAGGACACCTGTGGTCCCCTACTCGAGAAAGGCAGTGTCCATGGAAGAAGTTGAGACCAGCAGGTGAGGTGTCCAGAGATTAGTAGACACTGTTATTCATGAATGGTGCATGCAACTTTGCCAGCTGTGAGCCGAAGACAAAAAATGAGAAGAACAGAGTCACGGACCGGTGTAAGGAATATTGATAGTCCTTGGGGACTGTTGTTTAGGGCAAACCCCCCCCCCAAAAAAAAAAAAAACGACAACAACAACAACAACAAAAACAAAAATAAAACAAAAACAGACATTTTCTCTTAGTTCGACATACTTGGGTTTGATACCATAATTTAGGTATTAAAACGAAATGTCAAGATCACCAAGTTGATGAGATCTGGAAATTTGGATAATAGAATATGTAATAAAAGCAAATAAGACATCTTCAAAAATTCAAAGACTTTTCCCAAGCATCCTAAAAATAGTCATACATCGGGGGCCTATTGATGGCATAGCGGTTAAGGGAGTTTGAAAATTAAACCAGGTGCGTGCATGTGTGTGTGTGTGTGTGTGCGTGTGCGTGCGCGTGTGTGTGCCTGAAGTCCTTAGAGGAAAAAAGATTATGGTGTGGTCATCTCCCTGGGAGGTGCTCATTCTCTCCCTCTCTCTTCAGCAAGACACGTGTGCCCTCTAGCAAGCCAGAAAAAAAATGTCAAATTTATTCAGAAAAATGAGTTTCAATTCATAGCAGAACAGAAAAATGCTTTATTGGAGACAAGTGTTATTTGAAACATAAGTTTTATTTGAAACATAAGTTTTATTTTTAAAAAGGCTTTATTTGAAGGAAGGTTTTTATTTGATTCAAAACTTGTGAGAAATCTGGAGATACTCATATATGGGCAAAAGAAATTAGTGCATGCATGCAAAGTAGAAGAAATGTTTTATTGGAAAAGAGCATTCTGCTACAACATCTAAAAAGCTGGCGCTGGGAATGATTGCAAAGAAAAAAGTACTCTTAAGAGTGGGGTTGTAAGTTCAATATTAAAGAATATGCGGTATGACGACACACATTTTGATCTGTGAATAATCATGCCACATCTTACAAAATACGCTCACTGAATTCTTACTAGAATGACAGACAGGAGATTCAGCGTCCATCCTTGATGCTCTGCCTTAAGATACGAAGCCGGGACGCTACCACATCCCAGTCGGCGTAGGCTCCTTCCAGATGGCGGCGTATCTCCGTCCCTGCTTCATAGCTTTGGCGGCCGTGAAGTAAGCGCCAGTTATCAAACGTAATCACGTCACCTGGGTGAGAAATTTTTCAGTATGAGTAAGTTGTGTTTAAATGATTTACAGAGCTAAAAAATGCCATGTGCAAAATACTGCAGTTACTCAGTCATGTCAAGAAATAGTACGTTTCTTTCTTTACAGACAGTTGTACCTTTACTTTTGCACACAAATTAGGTCTCTGGATGCAAACTTCTTTTGAACTTATGACATTAAAGTGACAGCCTGGAGGGATCCTGTGGACTCTTTAATAACTCTTATTTAAAATACTGTATCTGGGGCTGGTCCTGTAGCCTTACTAGGGAGCCGATTCCCCACTGTAGTTTGAATCCCAGCCTAGCCGCTTTAAAAACACTGGACACATGTGTACACATGCTCCAAATCCCAGCAGAATGGGGAAATGACGGAGAAGAAATGAAGGACTGATTGCATTATGCCCCACTGGGGGTGGGGTGGGTTCTCTCTCTCTCATACAACCCTGTGGTAATTTAAAAAAATGATCTCTGTGTAAGACTTTTGAATCATTCTTATTGATTGTTACTTATCTCTTAATAGAAGTGGTTCTTCCTGGTTTAATGGCTTCAAATAATGAAAGGATAGTGACATTCTTGTTTTTTCTGCTACTTTCCTAGAATTTTATGTCCATTATTTCTAAGCCTTAGAAGAATCCTGAAAAGAGAGAGATTATCTCCTCCTTTCGTACATGAAAAAACCAAGGCTCAGAGAAGTTGAGGAGTTTGCCCAAAGATACACGCCATTACATGGTAGGGCTTGGCTTCCCACTATTATTTTGTTTGCATCTTTTTCCTGTTTCCATTTTACATGTCATTATTCTTAAAACCAACCTCCTAGGACTGCACGACTGGACTTATGAAGGGTCTTATATTACTTTATTAGACTGAGATCAGTGCAAAAAAGAATCACAATTAAAATGAATTTTCCATTTGGCCAAATGGATCTGAGAGAGAAGTGACACCTTTCACTACAGATCTTGGAGGTTGAGTTTGATGGCTCTCCTGAGGAGAAGTAGGTCAGAAGACACACTGTGTTTTGTGCTCCTTGACACAAGTAACTGGAATTCTTCAAGTATTTCTCTTTTTTTTTAATATTTGAAAGTTTGTTTATTGTTTGTTTATTATATATATATATATATATATATATAGCAATTTAAATAGCTTCTGCTGTCTGTATTTAAGAACTCAAGTACAGAAATGAACTTCGTGTTGTCGAGGTAACATTGTGTCTTCCCCCCAGTGTGACTGCGTGGGTGTTTATGATGAAATGTGACCATGACTGTGAAGTCTCCAGTCCTTAATCAATCAATGCCATTAAATTTTAGACAATAAGCAGCATCTTATATATACGCCTGAAGGAAATAATGTCAGCATCCCTGCACCTTGCACATATACACACATAGACACACTGGAGCGCTTCTTTAGTTCAGGTAGCACTCTCTGCTTGCAAGCTTCACCAGGACACGTCACTCATGAACTTTATACATCTTGGCCAAAAGTCTGCCAAGTGATACTCCCGGACTTCAGCATGAGAATCACGGGGATAATTTTGTTTATCAAGGTAGGAGAATTAAGTACAAGCCTCAGTTTGTATTGGCAGGCTACCAGCATAGACACAGAACACATCAATCTCAATATCAGACAGGAGATTGCAATTGACCTATAGCTTGTCTTATTAAGTATTTGTTATTTAAGTTTGTGGCTCTTAAATTTTGAAGTGTTTGAAGATGACTTGTAATCTTATAAAAATTAGTATTTTTTAGAGGTTTTTTTTTTTTTTTTTTTTGCTATGGGGCATGTGCTTGTTGTATAGACAAACAGAAAGTGAGAGATCACCCGCCAGAGGGCATGGCCATGCCACAGTCCCTTCTCCTCTAGTCTCCTCTTGGGATTTTGGGCATGTATGCACACATACCTGGCATGAGTTTCAAGCCTCTCGGCCCAGGACTTGAACTGCAATCAGCCATGTGAGAGTCCAGCAAAGTAACTATTATGCCCTCTGTTGTATTTTTAAGTCTGGAGAATTGACGGAATGGAGTTAGGGCCAGAGTTAGGCTCTTTAACACATTGGCTGCTCACGTCAGACAGAGAGAGGCAGAGAGACAGAAAGTGAGAATTCACCCCCCAGGGGGAATGGCCATGTTGCAATCCCTTCTCCATTCTCTTCTCAGGATCTTGGGCACACACACACACACATGTGCCTGGTGTGAGTTTTAAGCCACCGGGTCTGTGACACGAACTGCGGTCGACAACGTGGGAGTCAAGTGACATATCCATTACGCTAACTGCTGGTCCCCCACCTCCCATTCTTGAGAGAAGCTGCCCTGGATGTCTTTCTAGGCGGCTAGAAAATCCATCCCTTCAGTCGTCCAACAACATGTACTCACTGACCTGGATTCATCTTGAAGGTAAATTTGAATTCTTTGCTGTTCATGAGATCAACAAACTCCTTCAGGGCAGCATAAAAAGGCTGAACTCTTTCAACGGGTACATCAAACACTGTGTCTCTAGTTGCATTGTTGAAATTGATGCGAACCACTTGACCTTTATCATCTAACCTGCATTTATGAGAGAGAGAGTTAGTACATAGTTCATGAGGAACCTATTCACATTTAAAGGGTTTCATTTCTTTTGGAAGATATTTCTGAAATGCAGTATTAAAGAATCCAAACACACAACAGACACTCTACCTGTGACACAATGTGTTTTTTTCAGTTTTTCATTCATTAATTTAGCAAGTTTTTAGAGAGTTTTTTGTTATAGGGCATATGTGCTTGCTGGAAAGACAGAGAGAGACAGAGACAGAAAGTGGGGGGGATGGCCACACCACAATCCCTTCTCCATTATCCTCTTGAGATCTCGGGCAAACACACACACACACACACACACACACACACACACACACATGCCAGGCATGAGTTTTAAGTCACCAGGTCTGGGACTCAAACTGTGGTTGACGACGTGGGAGTCCAGCAACGTAACCATTATGCCATCTGCTGGTCCCTAAGCAAGTAGTTTTTTTTTTGGAAAGGTTTTTACTATAGGGCATGTACTCTTACCAGAAAGACAGAGAAAGACAGAGAGACAGAAAGCGAGAAATTGACCCCCAGGAGGGATGACCATACTGTAATCCCTTCTCGTCCATTCTCTTCTCGGGATCTTGGGCACACATGCACGCGTGCCTGGTGTGAGTTTAAGCCACTGGGTCTAGTACTCGAACTGTGGTCAACTACACGGTAGTCCAGCAATATAGCCATTATGCCATCTGCCGGTCCCATTGTTTTTATTTTTTTTAATCTTCCTATGTTAGTGCCAAGAAGAGTTGACTTAGATTAACGTGTTACTGAGAGCAAACAACTTAGAAATTTTGTTAGACTTAGTGAAATCCATTCACTCTTTGTTCTTTAAAATAGGTCTTACAGGGGCCAGCAGGTGGGGGTGGTTGAGGTGCTGGACTCCCTCCCACATGGCCAACTATGGTTTGAGTCCTGGACTTCAAGTGCCTTATGTGAATTTCAAGCTACCAGGTCTGGGACTCGAACTGCAGTAGGCCATGTGGAAGTCCAGCAACTTAAGCATTACACTATTTGTCCTAAAAGGCTACAAGCTCATCTCTAAAATTATGGAGTTTTAATGAAATAAAATATGTCCTATAAATGCATTACACCATCTGGAGGAGAAGGGATTGCAGTGTGGCCATCTCCTTTGGGGATGTGATTTCTCACTTTGTGTCTCTCTGTCTCTGTCTCTCTAGTGAGTGTACACTATAGCAAAGATCTGTTTAAAAAAGTACAAATAAGGTTCAATAGGTAATAAAGTACTCTTCTTCCTCTCCCTCCCCATACTGACCCATAAATAAAAGGAATACTCTGAGCCTAGGGAATGTGGTTTTATTTATTTATTTATTTTTGAAGAGGTTTTTGCTACAGGACGTGTGTGCTCACCAGACAGAGAGAGAGAGAGAGAGAGAGAGAGAGAGAGAGAGAGAAAGAAAGCGAGAAATCACCCCCCAAGGGGGGATGGCCATGCTGCAATCCCTTCTCCTCCATTCTCCTCTCGGGATCTTGGGCATGCATGGACACGCGCCTGGCGTGGGTTTAAGCCACCAGGTCCAGGATGTGAACCACGGTTGACTACGTGGGAGTCCAGCAACATAGCCATTATGCTAACTGCTGGTCCCAGGAATGTGGTTTTATTAATAAAGGTCAACAGAAAGTTAAGTCAGCAGAAGGCACCAGGAGCCTCCAGGATCAGGGGTACAAAGAACAGCATGTGACCTTTCAGTTGCTCCCCTCAATTGATTTCAGGACTTTCATGGTATCTGACACCATCTGCTTTTTAATCTTATCTCCAAGATTCTATTCCTACTGCTCCTCACCGTTTCTCTTCTTTTCTCTCTGTTTCATATTTTGTCTGAATTACCTCATGCTCTGTGTCATCTGCCATGTCACTGACAAGGATGTCATGACTCTGGACCTTCTCAGGGACCTTTCCTCCAGCTACCCTGACAATCTGTTTCTTTTTTCTTCTAGATTCAAACAGTTACTCTAGTTATGAGCAATTCATTCCAGAGTCATGGTGACTACGAACCAGGATAAGCTTCTCTTCTGAGCAAACTCCCTCACTCCTTTAAGTCTGTTCACCTCTCACTCAATGAAACCTTCCCCTCAAATTTTGTCATTGCTAAGTCTCCCTATCCTGCTCTGGTTTTCCTTTTCCTCTTAAGCACTTAATTTTAACATTGATTATAATTTGCCTTAAAGTCTATTATTAGAATCTATCCGATACGAGGGCAGAGGGTCTTTGGTGTCCACTGCCACATCTCAAGTACCAAGAAAAGTGCCTGGCCTCAATAGATACTTATTAGTTAATAAATGAGGGCTATGATTGTATACAAGAAGGCTGGATTAGTGTACTGTGATGACTGTCTACTCAATGAGTTTATTTTTTTACCATTTGGCTATTTGTCCTAAAAGGCTACAAGCTCATCTCTAAAATTCAATGAAACCTTCCCCTCAAATTTTGTCATTGCTAAGTCTCCCTATCCTGCTCTGGTTTTCCTTTTCCTCTTAAGCACTTAATTTTAACATTGATTATAATTTGCCTTAAAGTCTATTATTAGAATCTATCCGATACGAGGGCAGAGGGTCTTTGGTGTCCACTGCCACATCTCAAGTACCAAGAAAAGTGCCTGGCCTCAATAGATACTTATTAGTTAATAAATGAGGGCTATGATTGTATACAAGAAGGCTGGATTAGTGTACTGTGATGACTGTCTACTCAATGAGTTTATTTTTTTACCATTTGGCTATTTGTCCTAAAAGGCTACAAGCTCATCTCTAAAATTATGGAGTTTTAATGAAATAAAATATGTCCTACAAATGCAAGGTAATTCTCAAAGTAGTAAATTTGTGGCCTTCGTAGGTGCTTAGAAAAATCATGATGAAATAATGTTAAAAGAAAAAAGAAAAAAAAATATTTGATGTAGGGACTATATGGCCTTCATTGGTTTAGAATATGTTTAAGACCCCCTGTCTCACCCTCAGGTCATGTGTTTCAGATGAGGCTGATGCTGCCTCTGAGATGGACATGTGATCCAGGCATGGCCAGTAGAATTCTCTGCCCGCTGACCATGGTGATTGCTTCAAGGACAGACTTAGACATTGCAAGTCTGTGTAAGCTCATGAGCTTTGTTGCAGCTCTTGGGAAATAAATGTATTCCTCGTGCTGCGATTACCAGCTCTATAGACAATAAAAACATGGAGCTTCTGAGTACCATCTTTGAAAATGAAGCCATCATCAAAGATGGTAAAACTAAGAAGAAAAAAAGTGACCAATTAATGTCTGGACTATTTTCTGTTTTTTTTTTTTTTTTTTTTTTTTGTTTTTTCCTTTTTTTAACTTCAGGACTAAATAGTGCTGACTAGTACAACCACATTGATTACAACTGCGTAGGACTATTTTAAAGATAAAGTGTACATGGAGTGTTAGTTATTTTTCTAATATTAAAAACAGATTTCATGTATATAATTTGATAAATTTTTTCTTTAGTGGTGGAAAGATTCTTTTTAAAAATTTTACTCCAAAGTTAGATTAAATAGTAAATAAAAAATAAAACTCTTGAAAGTGGAGTGATACTTTCTGTTATTTAAACTTTAGGTTAATGGAACTTTAGCTGTCAGTTGGTTTATTGCAATGGAAAATTTGTAAATAGTACTCACTCTATAATTTTGTGTTTGGATTGTACAGAGAAATCGCAGTAATCTACTCCAATATCTGTAAAGTCCACAAAGGTTGAACACAAAATCTGGAACGCCCGAGGATTTTTCTCTTTGAGCTTTTGGCATACGTTAAACCCGTCTACGATTTCAGTATCACCCCCTGTGACTGTTTGCTTTATGCAGTGCAGAAGCTGAACCTGTTAAAAGAAATGAAGAAATATGGCTTAAAATGACATATATAAAAGGGTTTAGAGAAGAAAACATTGCTTATAATAGATATTATACTTCAAACAGGTTACAACTGAAGACATGGGCACAGGCATGATAGTTTTCATTAGCAAACAAAAAGCACAGACCATAAAGTCGCAAAGAACGAGCTCTTCATTCTGGAGTAGGCAGGGAATGCTTTATAGCTGGCAGAGGAGGAGGAATAAGATATTTGCAAACTTAACATTTCATTGCTATATATATACACACACACATACATATACATACATATACCTTGGGATATTTTGATGTGAAAATAGTCACTATTCTATTCACCTTAATTCCCCAATCATGCTGGTTAGAAGAGAGTTCAGTAGAATTATTTCTTGACACACTGAAAGAAGGAAAAGACTTGGCATACATAAAATAGAATGAGTGTGAATCAGTTGATGGTGATGAGTGTGTGAAAATGCACAGGTCACCAGGTAACAAAATTGGCTAGAGCAGGAGGTCCTGAATGGGAAAGCCATAGTAGGAAGGGTAATTTGGGGCCTCATCATGGAAAGCCTTACATGTCAGGTGAGGGATTTTTGTACTTGTGCACACAGGGGACTCATTGCAGACTTTTGAATATAGAAGAAATGTAGTCAGAACTGAGTGAAATAATATTAGTCCATTGGTGCTACCTAAAAATTTTTTTCCCCCAAGAGGGATACTGGTCACAAAGTAGCTACTGAGGGTCAACTGTGACGGTAGTTCAGGTGTAAGGCTGAAGGGAAGGAGGTAGGGTGAGACTATGAGAAAGGATGAACCCAAGTAACGGAGAGCCAGAAGGATGTACTATTTATTTTTTCTAAGATTATTTGGAAAATGTTTAACATGATTTCATTTTGCAAAGCAAATAGAGCAACAGTGAAACATTGCTTTGAAGAGGAGCTTTTCCTTGGTTTTGTGACTCCTTATTTAAGTCAGGATGGGTAAGTGGTTTTGAATGCCTAAATTTAGACCTTGGTTTTCTGCCTGAAGAAACAAATGCTATTCAACTGTGAAAGATTTATTCTCGCTGCATGAAATAAAATAAAAACCCATGCTGGACTGAGTTCTTCTTGTAGAATGAAAGAGGCAAACATGATCAAATACCTAGAGTAGGGGAATATGAATTTTAGTGGAGGAAAAAAGCCCATTTGGCTTGGTGCTCTCCAGAGTTGGTCTAGAGCAGTGTTGTCCATCCAAACTCCCTGCTCTGGTGGAAATGTTCTCCTGCGTTTCCTGACACAGTAGTTACTGGCTCCACCTGGCTACTGTGTGCCTGAAATGTAGCTCGTGTGACTGAGGAACTGAACCTTACATTTTATTTCATCTTAATTTAAATTACTATTTTAACAGCCACTTAATGGCTGCTGGCAACAATATTGGACTGTACTGGTCTAGTGCATCAATCACTGCTCTCTCCTAAACACGTGTTTTCCTGATTTTATCATTTTAGGCGTCCTTATTTTCAAAAGCTACATAAAGCAAGTTTCTTTCCTACCAAGGAAGAGATTTCTTTATAGGTCTCCTAATAATTTAGTGTCACGTAGAGTATATATGTGCTTTGTACATTTAGATAGAATGTTCATCCTTCTTTTATGATGTTGAGAGAGAAATGACCTAAATTAGTAATGGTTCGATCTTTACATGGATGGACTTCTCTTAAATTGAAAAACGTGTGTATAAACTGGTCAGTTCATTGCAGATAATCATGTCACTTGGGCAATAAAGGATGAAGCAGCCTGATGGAAGAGAAGAGGAAATGGAAAAGTCACACCCGAGTCTACCAGACTACCAGGAGGTTAGGTGATGGCACAACTTTGTCTTTGGGAGAAGAAGAATGTTCTTTAAGTTCTTTTTGACTTTGCCTTAAAGAATTTATAGAATATTTTAAATGTCTATCTTTAAGGTGAGATGACGTCTTTTATGCATAGTAAGGCCAACTAATATCTTCTTTTGTGTAAATTGTACTTTTAATACAATTTTATGGAAGAAGATGAAGCCTTAGAGTTTTACCACTAATTCCAACGGTAAATATCTGCCTGGAATGTATAAAACCCAGACATGTCTCATGCGAGTCACTCAGAACCCAAAATATTTTCTTTCTTCAGATCACTTTATGGAAGCAGGTGACATTTGGTCCAGGAAAAATAGTGAGTAACACATTATCTGTGTTTTATTGAAGAGGTATTGCCTTATCCCTCCTCACATGATCCAAGTTAATCATGGTAAACTCTCAACAGGTAATTAATCATCCCGTTCATTGTGCTGAAATAAAATGACTGTTCTACTTCTTAGAGAATTTTAGTATAAACACTCCCAGATAATTAAAAATGAGAACCTGAACTATAGTATGAATGGGTGCTTGTAATTTTCTCCTTCTATTGGAATATAGCCATTTTGAGAATCATCAGTTATTTAAAACTGTCCTGGGCAAGTTAGTGGAGTAGTAATTAAAGTGCCTAGATCCCACATGGCCTACTGTGCAGTTCAAGTTCCAGATCTGAAGGCTTTAAAAACATGCCAAGCATCTCTGCATGTATGTTCAAGTCCCAAGAGGGGAGATGAAGGAAAAGGGATTGCAGCATGGCCATCCCTCCTAGAGGGTGCTTTCTCACTTTCTCTTTCTCTGTCTCTTTTTGGCAAATGGAAGCACTCCTAGCAATTTTTAAAAAAATGTCCCATTCAGACATTTAGCTTTGGATGTTTCACTTGCTGATAGAGACAGGTAAAATGTTATAGTTCTTCTGTCTTTATAGCATGTCCGTTACGTCTCTCTTATATTCAAAGTACTGTATTAAGCCTTGGGATATAGAGGTATAAGATTCAGCTCTAGTCTTTGAAGAGTTTTAAAAGTATGACCATGTCTATAAATATCTATTCCATTATTTAAAGGATGGTAATGAAAACTTTTAACTCAGGGTCACCCATGGTGACGCAGTAGGAATGATGTGCTCTGGGATGCTGATCCACATGAGAAGGCCCCAGGTTTGTGTCCTGGGACCTCGCTGCATGTACTCGCACACAGGTATATGCCCAGTGATGAGGGATACCCGACCCTGGGAGTGGAAGGCGTGGAGACCCTGTGGGGTTCTTTCTTCATCTTTCTCTGTCTCTCTCTCTGTCTCTCTGACTGAAGAAGTAAATAAACAAACAAATTCCAATTCAGACTAGTATGGTATGATGACAAACTAGATGGAGGCCGGGTTCAAGGTCATGTTCTCCATTAATCAAATGTTACCCAGTAAAAATATTTAGCTGCTTCTCTTCCTCATCTAACATAAAGAGATATGACTACGCCTGTCTACCTTAAGGAATGTTAAGAGAGATCACGTAAATAAGTAAAAACACTTGGAAAAATGTAAGGTGCTATGAAAATATCAAGTGTTGTATTATACTTCAGGAATACTTAAGGACTCATTTAATCCATTTTTCCTTAGGCTTTCAATTTTAACTCAGAAATAGAACTTAAAATCAGAAAAGAGAGAAGATAATTTAACAATTCAAATAAAATCTTCAGTGTTGGGGGAACCAGCAGTTAGCGTAATGGTTATGGCGCTGGACTCCCACGTAGTAGACCGCGGTTTGTGTCCCGGACCCGGTGGCTTAAAACTCACGCCGGGCGCGTGTGCATGTGTGCCCAAGATCCCGAGAGGAGAATGGAGGAGAAGGGATTGTGGCGTGACCATCCCCCCTGGGGGGTGATTTCTCGCTTTCTGTCTCTATGTCTCTCTCTGTCTGTCTGGTGAGCGCACGTGCCCTATAGCAAAAACCTCTCAAAAAAAAATCTTCATTGTTTTTGTTTATTTTTGTTTTTGTCTCACTCTTTAAGCTTTATTTCATCCAGATTCTCTATTCTATTGCCGGCAGATGATCTGAGCTGACTAGTTGGCGCTTAACCCCAGGAGTTCAGAAAAGTCTCTGAAGCACACTTTCAAAAAATCACATTGTAGTCACCTCTTTCCACCAAAGGGTGACTATAATAGTCACTTTACTGTTGTCATTAGTTCAGTAGTGCCTTCCAATCAGCAATAATTTAAAATATGTGAAGTCAAATACTGGCCTAGCTTAGCTAAAACTGGCGAGAGAGCAATGGATAACACCCACAGAGAAAGCGTGTTCAGTAAAGATGATGGACAAAAATAGATTAATTTGAATTTAGCCCATTTCGCCTTCCTTAGCTTGAGGATTGCTCAAATTTTCACTTACTGATTTCTGTGTGGGTATTTTACTTCATCCAATTTACCTCTAAGAATAGGGACACATGGTTTAAAAGATAGTTTCCTGACCATTTGGTTTTTGGGTTTGTAAAATGATGATTTTTGTAAAAATGTAGCTGGTTTACTAAAATGACAATTTTTTTTAAATGTGGAGAAAGTATACCCATCTGGAAATTCTTCTAGGGTTTTGTGGCTCCATCCTCAGTATCTCCCTCCTTCACAAGCAATCTGATAGATGAGTAGTAGATGTTTTCCAGGGCCAGCCTGGGGCCTGTGGTTAAGCTGTTGGGATCTGGGATCTCCAATGGCCGACTATGTGGTGTGAGTCCTGGACCTCACAGCTTGAAAAACACACAGGGTGTGTGTGTGCACGCCTAAAATTTCAAAAGGCAGGGGAGATGGAGGAGAGGGGATTGTGGCATTCCCATGGGGGATACTTTCTCAATTTTCCTCTCTCTGTCTCTCTGGCAAGTGCAGTTGCCCTCTGGCAAAGAACAAAAACAAAAACAAGAACAAAACAAAAAAATGTTTTTCAAAAATACCCACGGCTACTTTATTCTCTGTATGTATGCTCCTTTGTAATGCACTTTGCGGTTCTCTGATGTTGTCTTCTTCACCTCTGAAATTTGAATTAGATTTATGACTTGCTCAGACCAATGAAACATTGCAGAAGTGACATTGTGCTGATTTCCGACCAAGGACTCGAAATTTTGCCTGCTTTGGTTGGTCTCTGGAAACTTTGCTAGTCCCCATGTGCAGAAGCCTGGGCTGACCTGCTGGAGGAGAGTAGTCCCAGTGGAGCAGAGACAGGACATCTCAGCTGAAGTCAACAGTGCCTGGGTAGTTCTGCAGCTGACTGCAGGTGTGTAACTGCAGACAAAAAGAACTTCCCAGATAAACACAGCCCAAATGCAAAAAACCTAGGCTAAGAAAATGGCTGTTCTATTAAGCCATTAAGCTATGAAGTGAGTTTTTAATGCAGCAATAGCTAACTGAAATAAATCATAGCTATGGAACTTTGTGGGGAAAATCTACACTGTGTTCGCTGATTTCATTCTGTTCTAACTATCTGCTGTATGTGCAGGAAGGCCTCAAGATGTGCTGCTTGCTTGCAATCTATTTTGGCAAAGCAAAAAGTGCCAATAATTATTTCCAGGGCAAAACAAAAAAGATGCATGAAAATGTTCTATTAATATCTTTTAGGAATGTGAGGATATATAGAATTTAAATACAGAGATTGTGTGTATATGCAGAGAAATAAAGTTTACGTAAGATGCACTAGCTGGTAAAACAATCTTCTAGACTCAAAACACAGGACGATTTGGGTCCTTGGCCTGTCTTGTGGAAAATATGTTGGAGCTCACCTTACCCCAGGTGGATGATGGAGGGCTGGATAATCAGTGTGAAAGCTTAGCTTCCCAGTTGTGTAAGCCACATTGTTAGCATCAATTTTGTCTTGCACTTGCCAAGTATGTCTGAAAAATATAAGAAACACATGTTTAAACAGGTTGTAACCAAGCCAGAGGAAATGCGTTAGAATGAATTTGGTGTGTGGGGTGCAATGGAAACTTTTCATCTTATGAGTTAATTACCATAATGACTGTGAGCCAGAAAAAGGAATCTGACCTTTCTTTTTCCAAAGTGACTATTTTGGAATTAAGAGCCCTTCATTGCTTCTGTCCTCTCAACAAAAGAGTGAATTTGTACGTTAGTCTATCCTACCAAGTTTATAAAGAAATGTACATGGGATTGTAAGTTGTCTTTTCTTTTTTTTAAAGAGAGATTTTTGCTAAAGGGCGCATGTGCTTGCTGGAGTGACTGAAAGCGAGAAATCACCCCCTACGGGGGATGACCATGCCGCAATCCCTCCTTCTCCATTTTCTTCTCGGGATTTTGGGCATGTTCGCACACATGTGAATTTCAAACTGATGGGTCTGGGACTCGAACTGCGGCTGAGCACGTGGGAGTCCATGATGTAACTATTATGCCATCGGCTGGCTCCTGAAAGTTGTCTTTTAAAATAGATGAATGTATTTTAAAATATGATTTGTTGAGTTGAAATTCACATAGCATAGAAGACACCATTTGAAAGTGAACATTTTAGTGGCATTTAGTATATCCACAGTGATGGGAACCACTACCTCTATGTATCTAGTTTCCAAACATTTCTGTCACTCTAAAGTAAAACTTCTTACCTGGTAAGCAATTTCTTCCCTTTCTGCCCTTCCCAGAGTTCCTGTAAACCATTAATCTACTTTCTGTCTCTCTATATTTACATATTCTGGATATTTAATGTCAATGGAACAATATCATCCACAACCTCTTTTACTTAGCCTAATATTTCCAAGATTCATTCAGGCTGTAGCATGTATTAGTACAGTCTTCTTGTTTTGGCTGAGTAATATTCTATTGTATGGATATATCACAATTTGTTTATCCATTCATCCATAGATGAATATTTGAGCTGTTTCTACTTTTGGTTATTGTTAATAATGCTGGTCTGAACAAGTATATTTTTGTACTTACTTGAGTATCTGTTTTTACTTTTTAGTATATATACACAGGAGTGAAATTGCTGGATCATATTATAATTCAATATTTAATTCTTTGAGAAAATGCCAAACTTTTCCATGGTGACTCTGCAATTTTATATTCCCACCAGCATTATGTGAGGGTTTTAATCCTCTCCATGCTCACTACACTTATTTTATGTTTAAAACCCTTTTTCTTTTTGGCCTATGTTTGGTGGAGCAGGCAATAAGGGAGCCGTTGCATGATTTTGGTAGTCACATGGGACAGCTCTGAGTTGTGCCCTGGATCTACTTGAACAATCAGGCTGGCTGCAAGAAAGGGGAGAGAACTGAAGCATGAAAATCCTGTCAAGGGTGCCCCTCTCTTTTTCTCTTTGTCTCATAAAGGAAAGAAATAAAATTTTATTATAGCCTTCCTAGTGTGTGTGAAGTAGTAGCTCATTGTGTTTTGATTTGTATTTTCCTAAAGATTAATGTTGTTGACTATCTTTTCATGTGCTTGTTTGGCCATTTGAGTATCTTCTTTGGACAACTGTCTATTCAAGTACTTTACCCATTTTAAAATTGAGCTGTCTTTTTTTGTTGAGTTGTAAAAGTTTTTTATATATCCCAGGTATTAGATGCTTATTAGATGTGTGACTTGCAAATATGTTCACCATTCTGTAGGTAGACCTTTAACATTTTTGCTAATATCTTCTGATGTTCAAAGTTTTAAATTTTGATGAAACCAACTAAAGCATGAGCTTTAGTTGCTCATGCTGTGTGTGTGTGTGTGTGTGTGTTATATCTAAGAATTATTGCCCTATCTGAGATAATGAAGACTGATGTCTATGTTTTATTCCAAGGCTTTTATTTATTTTAATTTTTAAAAGGCCTTTGCCATAGGATGCGTGCACTCACCAGAGACTGAGAGTGAAAGTGAGAACCTACTCCCTGAGGGAAATGGCAATACTACAGTCCTTCCTCCTCTATTATCCACTCAGGATCTGAGGCACACTCATGCACACATGCCCAGCATGATTTCTTTTTCTTTTTTTTTGGAGAGTTTTTTTTTGTTTGTTTGTTTGTTTTTGTTATAGGGCGTGTGTGCTCGCCAGACAGAGAGAGACAGAGAAACAGAAAGCGAGAAATCACCCCCCAGGGGGGATGGCCATGCTACAATCCCTTCTCCTTCATTCTCCTCTCGGGATCTTGGGCACGCACGCACATGTGCCTGGTGTGAGTTTAAGCCACCAGGTCCGGGACTCGAACCGTGGTCAACTACGTGGGAGTCCAGTGACATAACTATTACGCTAACTGCTGGTCCCAGCCCAGCATGATTTTTAAGCTTCCAAGTCTGAGACTCAAACCACAGCCAGTTATGTGGAAGTCCAGTACCATAATCACCATGCCACCTGCTGGTCCTTATAATTAGGTCATTTACCTATTATTGATTAATTTTTATATATGCTATGATATAGGAGTCCAGTTTCATTCTTTTGTCTCTATTTCATTTGTTTCTGCTCTGCTCTTTATTATCTCTTTACTTCTATTTTGAATAAAATTGTCAGAAGCTGCGCCTACTCACTGGAGAGACGTGGGGCAGGGGAGAAAATAATAAGGCACCTTCCCTCTCTTGTGGCATGGTCATGCTGCAATCTTTCTCCTCCATCTCTCTCTCCTTTTGGGAGTTTGGGTATGCACACACATATGTTTGGAATGTTTCTCAAGCCACCAGGTCCTGGACTTGAACTGCATGGTTGACCATGTGGGATCAGCCACCTTGACCACAAGCCATGGACTGTCATATGTTACTAACTTTGATTTTGACTTTTTTTTTCCCTAGTCCCATGAGATATGTTAGGTTATTTGAGATCTCATAATCCTTTTGATGTCTATTGCCATGAACTTTCCTTTTTTAATTTTCTTTTTTTGGAGAGTTTTTTTTTTTTTTTTCTATAGGATGCATGCACTTCCCAGAAAGACAGAGAAAGAGAGAGAGAGAGAGATAGAAAGTGAGAAAACACCCCTGGGGGGGGGGTAGCATTCTCCATTCTCCTCTCAGTATTCTGGGCACACATACACACACACACACACACACAACCACTGAGTCTGGAACCCATATTGCAGTTGGT